TTAAGTGCCCTTATTTAAGTAAGAGGCACTCGAACTAACATAACAGTACACATCAACATTCTCAACAAGTGCAAAGACCAAAATACCCCTTCACTAACACCACTAACAAAGGTCTTCTAGATGTTATTGTTGTATATTTATGTGTTGGAGACCTTGTATAAAGTCTCTAGAGTTCTAAGGCTTCCATGTACCTCCCTCTCATAGGCTGATTTATTTTGAGAATTAATAAATTAAGTTGGCTGTCCTCCCATAGGGAGTAAATTTTGGGGCTTAAATGGTGGTTTCTTATTTTTATGTATTTGTGATGAGGGGAAGAGTTATCCATCAGAAAAAATGAGGGGAAAGATTTTCTTTTAGTGTTATGTGGAGGTAGATTGTAGATTTATCTATTGAGAAATTTGTATCTCTTTCCTAATATTCTTGTGAAAAAATTGATTTACAGGGTTTTGGAGATGGCAAAGACCTTCCTTCTGTTCAGAAGATTGTGATGGAAATAAAATCATCTCATGATTTGTTTGTTGATCGAGTTGCATACACTGCAATAATTGATGCGCTCCTAAATTGTGGCTCAATGAAAGGCATGCTACATTTGTGATTCTATGGAAGTTTTCTTGATCAGATTGTTTTGGGGAGCTCTGACATTTTTGGTATTTGTTTAATAATACTGGAAAAACAACCAAGAGCAACAGGATTTAAAATAGTGGAACTTGTGTGCATTTAAGATAGGAAACCTAGACATAAGATAAAATCTTGTTTTCCAAGAAAAAATATTTCATAAAAAGAATGACGAAATATATTGGAGAAACATAAAGCTTTTATATACATTTATGGTTTTTTTTAAGATAAATAATAAAGAAAATTCATTAAATAATAAAAGGTGTACAAAGAAACCAGGCGACAAGGCATCACCTACTGGAAAAACTACAACCATAAACTCCAACATAGACCGACTACAACTAATTCAAAACAAGGAATCAAATCTTTAAAGTGTTCCAAAATTCAGCAAAGAAATTCTCTCTTCTTGAGCCTTCCAAATCTTGGGTGACCAACATCCACTCCACCAGCCTTGAACCAATAACAACACACAACTGTGGAAGTGATGGAGGATAGTTCTGTATTTTTACATTTCTTGTACAACTCCTTTTTGGACATTACTTGTATTATTCTTTATGAGAGGGCAGAATTGTCCTTTCGTTTCATTAACATAAAGTCTGTTTTCTTGGGTGTAAGTCTCATTAGACACACCCATACAGATTGTATTCTCCTTCTCCCTCTCTTCTCTTTCTCTCTTAATGATCTTCTAATTCTGACATGGTATTAGAGCAGGTCTCCAATCATCTGAATAGAAAATACCGTGGAGAATATTTTGATTTTCAACATTTTGAACTGTTTGCCCGCTCATACAGGTGTTTAGGGCTGTTTTGATTAGTCTTAGTCTGATTGTTCCTAGAAGCTGCGAACCTGGTTCAGTTTTCTATTTGACTCTCTCTCAACAGCTGCTGGATCTGCACAATACTTTGTTTTCTGGGTTCCCGGATCTTCTCTGAGGAGGCCTTCGAATTCTCATCTTCACAAAAGAGGGTATGATCTGTGTCTGTGTATAACTGAAGTGAACAAGGGCAGCCTTGAACCTCTTAAACCACGCCCCAGGTGATTAATTAAGACCATAGAGTGGCTTCTTCAGTTTACATACTTTACCCTGCATTTCTTTTCCATACATCCCAGGAGGAAGAGACATAGACTATTCTATGCAACTCCCCATTCAAAAAAGCATTCTTTACATAAAATTAATAGAGCGGACAGTCACAATTATCTGCCAAGAATAACAAAACTCTCATAGAAGTCATCTTAGCAATAGGGGCGAATATCTCCAAGTAAACAATTTAATATGTTTGTGTATACCCGTTAGCAACAAAATGTGCCTTGAACCTTTCAATAGAACCATCTGCATGATATTTCAAGGGGTAAACCCATTAGGACTCAATAGGTTCCTTCCCTTTAGGCAAATCAACTACATCCCAAGTGTCACTATTATGCATGGACTTGTGGGTAATCCAATTTTAGAACCATTCAAGGGAGAGTTCTAATATTCTCAAATAACTTCTTTTTCCTTCTTAAACGTATTCTCAATCCTAAATGCTTCACCCAAGTAGTGCCATCTTGAGTCTACTCAGGATTGATTGGTGTGGTGATTTTTTGAGGGCTGAAATTATGGCTGTGCTGGAAGGTCTTCAAAGGGCTAGAGAGCTATATATCTAGAAGCTAGTTATTGAGGAGAGACTCAAAGTTAGTTATTGAGTGGTTGCAAAAGGAAGAGGAAGCCGGATGGTGGTGCCATATAAATGATAAAAGGAGTAAATGCTTGTCTTGAGGAATGGAAATCAATGTGCATTGGGTGAAAAGGGATGCTAATTCATTTGCTGATACACTAGCAAAGCAGGTGGTGGGAAGGGATCATTTATTTTAGACTGTATTGTAGTCATGTTATCTGTATTTGGTAGAATTTAGAGAACTCTCAAGCGGTGAAGCCAATCCTCCTGAGGATCGTTCACACTCCTTTGCTGATTGCCTATGTTCATCCTTGGCCCTGGAAGCTATCAAGCCTAATCATGTTGATCTTGATGCGAAAGCTATTTCTTTTCGGGGGGGGGGGGACCTATGGTTTTCTTCTTAGAGGAAGAAATCACCAAAACTTGTTCTCCTCTCCATCTGGTTTTTGTTGGTAAATGCCCTTATGGTAGACTTCCTATTCAAGAGATCAAAGAGGTGCTGATAAGAACTTTCAAATTACAACACAATATAGTGATTATTACTATTGGTCAGAGGCATGTCTTAATCAGATTTGAATATGAGGAAGAATTTCTTAGGGTTTGGTTGTGTGGATCTCTAAGAATTAAGGATTTCTTGTTTAGGTTCTTTAGATGGTCTCTAGATTTTGAGAAGGGTAAAGGGTTATGAACCTTCGATTGTCCCTGTGTGGATAATCCTTCCTCAACTTCCCTTGAACTTCTATATTGAGAAATGCCTCAGATCCATTGCTTCTAGTGCTGGTACGGTGCTCCAGATTGATTCATCCACGGTGAACATGACTAGAACGTCGGCGGCTAGGGTTTGGGTGGAGATCAATCTTCTTTGTGAAACCCATCTAGGTTTGGATTAGTGTAGGAAAGGAGGGTTTATGGCAGTGAGTTATCTATGAACTGCTGAAATAAAAAGAAATCGAACCCAAAACCCTATCCGACTAGAGAGTTTTCAATTTTCAGGTTAAGGAGAAGGATTGGGTGAGGCGCTTAGGGCTTGGGAGGCTTATTTTGATCCCCGGAAGTGTGCGATTGAGATTTGAAGAAGGTTGAGAAGCTCTGGTAGGAGCGGCTACCTCTTCTCTCTTCCTCGACAGTTGGGTGCAGTAAAACCCTAGTTTTTGAATCTCCTGGTACTGGACTGACCTTAGTTAGGTCTATAAAGACTGAAAAATTAGTTTTTTAAATTTTGTTTTTTTTGATAAATAGTTTTTTGATTTTTGTTTGATCAATGGAGCAATTCGAAAGTAAAATGAAGCAGATGCCAGTATTTGGGGTTGGTCCGGTAGATTCCTTTTTGACCGGAGTGACCACAATTAAACTAGATGGAACCAATTATCTAGCATGGGCACATTCTATACGAATTTATGTTTGTAGTAGAGGTAAACTAGGGTATCTCACAGGCATTAAGGAGAAACTTGCAGAGACAGACCCTGCGTATGAGAAATGGATGCAAGAGAACTACGCAGTGATTGGCTGGTTAGTCAACTCTATGCAGCCCCATATAAGTCAACGTTACCTTTGGATGACTTTAGCCAAGGAGATTTGGACAATGTTACAAAAACATATTCACAGAAGTTAAATGTTGTAAGAGCCTATAAGTTGAAGAGTGATGTGAACAATCTGAGACAGGGGGAGAAGAGTATAGTAGTTTACTACATGTTGAAGTCACTATGGTAGGAAATTGATGTTATGGAGACAATTGTATGGGAGAACACTAAGGATGCAGAGACATTTAGAAAACTAGTGGAATGAAGCAGGGTGTTTGAGTTTCTTATAGGACTCAACCTTGAGTTTGACATTACTAGGCAAAATATCTTGGCCAAAGATGAGGTCACTCTTGCTCAAGAATATGCTATGGTAACTAGTGAAGAGAGTAGGTGACAAGTACAGTTACAAGGACCACCTACAGAACACTTTGCACATGCTGGAATAAAACCAAAAGGGCTGACTGAGAAGAAAGAAGTGACATGTGAATACCATACGAAACCAAAGCATACTAAGGGCACTTGTTGGAAACTTCATGTAGACCTTCTCCTGGATAGGTTTTAGAACAACAACAATAACAACTTTAAGAAGAATGGTCGGACTAGGAAGCCTAAAATGCTAATGCTCCACAATGCCTGAGGGTGGAAATAGAGAAAGTGAAGAAAAATCAGCTATGGAGCATCTGGCAGCAGTAAGGGCAAAATTTGAAAAGTATGGGAGGTTACTTAATCACTTGGAGACCACCGTTTCAGCATCCAACCGTTCAGGCAACACCTCATCATCCGTATTTGCTTACTCAGGTACTCATGCTTTTGCAAATCATGCTATTGCTTCAGGTAATCATAAAATCCCTTGGATTATTGATTCTGGTGCATTAGACCATATGACCAGTATATTTAGCCTCTTTTGTTCCTATCAGTTCCTCTCTAGTAGAGAGAAGATATCCCTTGTTAATGGGTCTCTTGTTCCCATCTCTGGCAAAGGAGATATCAAAGCCTCTGACACTCTTGTCTTATCCTCTGTTCTTCATGTCGCCAAGCTTAATACCAAACTTTTATCTATTAGTAGCTTGACTGAATCAATGAACTGTAGCATAACCTTCTTTCCTACTCATTGTATTTTTCAGGACCTGAAATCTCAGAGGACGATTGGGAGTGGCCATGAGGCGAATGGAATATACTTGCTGGACACACCTGATAAGAGTCTTGGACCAACTAATAGAGTAGTCTTAGAGTCTGTTTTGTCAGAGCCTATTGATAGAGTAATGTAATGTCATTTACATTTTGGTTATTTACCTTTGTTTGCTTTGAGCCATTTGTTTCCCAGCATGTTTAAGGGAAAATCTCTAATGAGTCTTTACTGTGAGTCATGTGAATTTGCGAAACATTGTAGACATTCTTATTCAGTAAGTAATAAAAGGTCTATTTCTCCTTTTCATGTTGTGCACTCTAATGTTTGGGGGCCATATCATTTTCCTACTATGGGGGGTTACAAGCATTTTATCCTCTTTATTGATGATTTTTCTTGCTATACTTGGATTTACCTCATGAGATCCCGGGATGAAGTACCAATTATTGTGCAAAAGTTTCATGAACTTATTCTTATCCAGTTTAACACCCGGATCAAAATATTCCGATCTAATAATGCTAAGGAATATTTTGAGAAGAACCTTTCATCCTACTTTGAGACCTTTGGGGTTATTCATTAGAGTTATTGTTCCTACACTCTACCACAGAATGGAGTGGCGGAAAGGAAGAACCACCATGTGGTTGTGGTTGCTAGATGCTTCC